CTTGTATTTTCTTCACAGATTGTCCATGGTAACAAAAAAGACAGAAGCAGGTGTAGAAAAACAAGGATGAATTATGAATGGAGAACATCAAAGCTCCCACAAAACAAATTGAATGAGATAGGGCAATGGTATGATAAAACATCATCTGAGCTCATCATAAAATTTTGCAGACCCATTTTGAAACCAAAATGGTGAAAGGTCTGGAAACTGCCTTATTCATTTTATGAGAGCAAATTAGGGAGCTGGGTATGTATAGTCTGGGGAAGAGAAGATTAAAAGGTGATATGATAGCCCTGTTTAAATATCTGAAGGGATGTCATACTGAAGATGGACCAGATTTTATGATGAGTTCAGATGATGTTTTATCATACCATTGCCCTATCTCATTCAATTCGTTTTGTGGGAGTTTTGATGTTCTCCATTCATAATTCAGCCTTGTTTTTGCAGCTCTAGAGAATAGGTCTGGGAGCAGTGGATTAAAACTACAGGAAAAGAGATTCCACCTAAACCTTAGGAAAAAGTTCCTGACCATAAGAGCTTTAGGATGGTGGAGTCTCCTTCTTTGAAGGTTTTTAAACAGAGGCTGGATGGCCATCTCTTGGGGGTGCTTTGATTGTGTGTTCCTGCATCACAATGGGTTGGACTGGATGGCCCTTGTGATCTCTTCCAAATTTATGATTCATTGCATTAAGAAAGCTTTGTCTGAAAGCACCCTTAGGCTAAGAGACAGAACTAAGCCACTCTGGGCAAGGGTCCTGGCCACCAATCAGTCAGGGCTGCCTTTGGCAGTAAATAGGCTTGGCAATATGCTTGCCCAATTCTTACTTTGTGCCAGAGACATGTCAAGGTGGAAAAAAATCTACTCTGCTTAATAGCAAACCAAAAATAGCTACAAAGGCAGAAGGAGCATGGATTGGATTTCTTTGGGACTATAGCAGTGGAGAGATAGCTTCCAGCTCCAATATTTAGCTGCTGCTGAAGGAGGGGAAAGAGACGGCAGTGATGACATAGCCTCCAACTGTCCCCATTTGGCAAGAACAGTCATGATTAATAATGTTGACTCACTTTTTCAGCTGCTTTAAAAAAAACAACACTTTCCCTATTTGTCCCCACCTTACTTCAATCACTACAAACTGAGGTCAAAGTGTAAAAGTAGTTTGCATTCCATTAAATCAGCAGGATGGTAAAGATAGGATAGGATGTTGTCCTTCCCAGGAGGATCAGGCAAAAGCAAACTGCAGCACATCTCCTACCTTATGTGATCTTCTTCATTAATAACCTTTGACATCTTAACCATACTCTGATGTTATTTGGCCACACATGTCCTGGTTTCCATTTAAGAAATGTGGCAGGTTTGTGGTAGTGAAGGTGGAATACTCAAATGATGAACATCTGTCTCTAAGTCTTAAAGTCTGTTTGATCACATGGAGCTTGGTGAGGCAGGTTGAGTGACTATGCTGGGTTTTGAATTATGGGATCTATTCTCCAAAAAAGGTAACTTTTCCTCATTCATGGGGATAAGGATGAAATGGGTATGGGACAAACAGACATGATAATTCAAAAGGCACTTGATTACTACCATACTTGCGGCTTTTAAACTGCTATTATAGCAGGAACAAAGCAGCTTTGGCAATACTTATCTCATGATGCCACCTCCAACCCATAGCTGCTGTGCTCCCAAAGTGCAGTTAAGGCATCTATTTTCATTGATGGGAAAACCTGTCAATGACCTTGCAATTGCACAAGTTGCCAGGTGTGAAACTGCATTCTAAAATTCCTCCATACTGCCATAGTAGCAAATTTCTAGCTCCTAGAGATTCCCATTTTGTTTCTCAGTACCCCTATTTTGGCCACATAGCCACCGTAACTCAGTGCCAGCCAGAGGTAATGGTCAACATGATAATAAAAGAGCATTGCTTTGGTCTTTGCACCCTAGAAGCATCCTCTATGACTGTCACCTCCTCCCACCCCATTAATTTTATTGAAACATGAAGCACTCCTGGACCACCAATCTCCTTACATAAATCTGTATCCAAGCTATCAGATTTCTTGCCCCAAGAGGCTAGGCTGGCACCTACAATGTTTTTCTGTATGTTAACAATTTTCATGATCAGACACCTGTAACATTTCTTGAATTTTATGAAATATTGCATTTATTTTACCTGTGTAATTACATTCTATTATTTTATTGTATATTATTGCTTTCAATTGCCATTAGTGGCCCAGAGTGGTGAGGAAACACTAGAAGAGTGAGGCTTATGGCTTTGTCTAAATAAATTAGAGAACATTTTTATCTTTCCATACCTTCACCATCATCCATCCTATGTACTATCTGTAATATAAATGGTTGTACTTTGAAAATAAGATAGACTGAGACTGATGCTAAGAAACCTGCAGTATTTGATTATTTTTAAAGGTAAAGGTAGTCCTTTGACATTAATGTCTAGTTGTAACTGACTATAGGGAGCGGTGCTCATCTTTGTTTCTAAGCCGAAGAGCCAGTGTTGTCTGAGACTGCTTTGGTGGTCATGTGGCCAGCATGATTTACACAGAATGCTGTTTACCTTCCCACTGAGAAGTGGTACCTGTTTCTCTATTTGCATTTGCATGCTTGGTAGAAGCTGGGACTAATGATGGGAGCTCAGCCCATCACACAGCACCCGGGCCTTGAGCTGCCAACCTGCCAATCTTCCAATCATCAGAATTGGTGTCTTAAGCACTAAGCCACCGCATCTTGATTATTTTTCGTTGCACTTATAAGCAGTTCCTCTTCCAGACTCCAGTAAGATATAGTTTACAAAGGTTTGTGTGCTCTATTATTAATACAGTTTATTTAGTCTTAAAAGATGCTTCAATTAATATTTAAGTTTCTAGATTCTCTCAGGGGCTAAGTTTTGTGTTTGGTATTTTTTTTTTATATATTGAATAGTCATATAAACTTTCTTTCGTTGTTTCTTTCTGAGGTGACAATTTTAATATTTTTGTGTTTCCATTTTTAATAAGGAAAATATTAATTGAGAAACCAGAATAGCTGTCTGCCCCATAAATATAATGTGATCATCTTCCCTTTCATGCACTCCAGCAGCCTCTGGAAGATTGCACAATTCCCACTCCTATCCTATCTAATGGATATGGCCACATAAAGTAGTGACCCCTATTTTCAGGGACTCACATGGAAGCAAAGATCTGTATATCCAAAGTTTCCATTACCATCTTCTCTGCTTCCTGCAGGTAACATGCACATTGCCTGTGTCCATTGTATTCTGCTAGGTCCCTTGCTGTATAACCGTCCACATCACGGATGCCTGGATCTATTCGGTGGGAGATCAGTGTCTGACAGCACTGCAAATAAACACATAAACAACTACCATCATCCTGATTCACACACAACCCAGGGAACCAAGTTTCTCTTTAATATTGTTCCCCCTCCCCAGTGTACTTTTCACATAAGGACAAGAATTTGTCATAAGTGGTAATAGGGCCATCTTAATTTTATTACTTGCAGTGCACTCAGTCTTCTTCAGGAGGGTAAGTTGACATCACACTTAAAAATTCCTTTCCTATTGAACTCCATCATAGTCCATACTTTGGACCCTCCATTCTAAAATTCCTCCATATTGCCATGGCAGCAAATCTGTAAGCCATAGAGATATGTACACAGGATGCAGGAGCAAATTATTTAAACAACTAAATTTAGCCTGATATGAATCTCCTAACTGTGCACTGAATGGTCTCTGGGAAATGTATGCGCTGGTGATGGCGGTCAACATTAGGGGAAATGTTCAACCAAAGTTTGAGTTCTAGTCCTGCCCTTGTTTCCCTCCATACCTCTTGTTCTCCACTCAGTACCAACAAATACCTCCAAGTGCCCATTCTCTGCTGCGTCATGAAGAGGTGTTCCTCCCCAATAGTCCAGCACAATCTTAGCACCCATAAGGAGGAGTCTGTCAGCAATAGCAGTGTGTCCCTCTCTGGCAGCAAAGTGGAGTGCAGTGGCTCCTTCCATATCCTGTGTAGTGAGGCTCAGATCAGTGAAGGTTACCTACGTGAATGGAAAATTGTGTCTGTTGGGAAAGAGTCAAATAGAAGCAAAAATGAAGACTGCCTTTTTGCAGTGGATCTTTTTCTTTCATCTGGCTCTGCTATGACCTCTCATATTTAACTTTCAAGAACCACAGGGGGAAAATGCATCTAATAAAATACTCAGGCAGTTGATGGAATTTGTTTTCCATACACGGGATGGCCAAAGTCTTTCCTCAATGTGAGGCATTGGAACTAGTGGACAAGACAGCCTCAAGAGCACCATCTCCTACATTGCTAGAGTGACAAAAATTCAATTTTAAGCTTAACAAGAAACCATTAACACTAATTGTTGCTGCTACAGCAAGACTTTCTTTTAGTGGCACTTCTAGAAATGGGGGAAACTACTTCTCTGGACTACAGTTCTCAGAATTCCTTATCAACATGGCTACTTACCATAGTGGTTGAAGGTGCCATTTATGAGTTCAAGAAAGCAATTTTCCCAAAGACTGGTCCCTCTTAAATGCCAGATACCACTAGCAATAAGAACACATAGTCCCAATCTGTAGAACTCCTAAAAAGCTGGGAAGGTACAGGTTAGGATAAAGTTTAAAAAAATAGGTCTGGATAATTCTAGTAGAAAAATCGTATTAACCTAAATGGGAACCCTGGAGATCTTCACATGGGCAAAAGAGACAGGAGCATAGCAAGATTCTTCCATCAATATCATCAGGTGACATTGTGTGATGTCACGATAATCACATCATTAGCCCGTGAATAAAGAGAAATTCTCTCATCACTTTTTATTACAGGACTTTCCCATGAATAAAAAGTGGTGCTAGAATTCCTCTTTATTCACAGGATAATGACGTGATTATCGCGACGTTGTCTGATAATCTTTATGCAATTGCGCTATCGTGATGGGAGCATCCTGCTATGTTCCCGTCACTTTTGCCCATGTGAAAATCTCCCCTATGAGAAGCAGCATGGTCTAGTGGTTTGAATGTTGGACTGTAGCTCTGCAAACCAGGTTTCAAATCCCTGCTTAGCCATGTAAACCCACTGGTTGACCTTGGACAAGTCACAATCTCTCAACCTCGGAGAATGGCAAGGTGAACCTAATCCGAACAAATCTTGCAAATAAAACCCCTTAAGATCATTATAAGTCAGAAACAAGGTGAAGGCACTCAACAACAAGAAATCTTATACTGGGATGATGAAAGAGACATGTAAATTAGCTGAACAGAATGGTTAACATTTTCCACTAAAGAAAATGGCAAAACCAATCAGAGAATGATATTCTACTGCAGATATCAACAATGCAAAAAGTGTAAGGTTACCAGCCAGATGACAGCAGCATAATGGCCACCACAAGCAGCTGCATGCAATACTGTCATGCCATCATGTGCCCTCAGGTGCACGTCAGCTTCACAGTCTTTCACCAGGAACTGGATGATGTGGAGGTGGCCCTCCTGACAGGCGAGGTACAGAGGGGTTGCTCCACTCCTGGTTTGCTTGTTCACACAACTGTTGGAGGAGAGGAATTAATGCAGCAAGGTTAGAAGTAGTAGAGGGACTCACTGCTTTGGTTGAAACTTATTTGCTCACTGAATTAGGCATTTATATCCTGCCCTTCAAAAAAATAAAAAGATAGCCAGAGACCCTTGCAATTCAACATAAAAGAGATTAAGTGCATTGCTACACATAGCTTTTAAACTGTGATTACACCTTGAAAGAAGGAGCTTTGGCAATACTTATTGGATTATGACACTTCTGACCCATAGCTGCTCTGTCCCCTGACCCATCCCTTTTCATTGACGGGGCAAATCTGTCAATGACCTGGCAAATGCACAAGCCCCCAGGTGCAAAACATTGCTCCTGGGACATTTGCACACTTGCCAGTCACGTGGAATCAGTATCCCCTCCTTCCTCCCTCCTGTTCCCCCTCCTCACTATTCTCAAACACCCTGATTGCTTTTATTTATTTATTTTCTATTTATTTTCTTTCTTTTAAAAAGCTTTTTAAAACCTCAGTCATGATAGCAGAACTCTAAACTGCATGGGGAAAAAGGAGGGGACCTTAAAGGCATGCTGGGTAGGGCATAAGGAAGGGAGGCAGGGTTAAGGAAGAGCTGGGAAAAGAATGCATTGGGGGCAATATTTATGAGCTTTTTATTAAAGCTCATTCTCTCCATTTAAGGAACTGCTTTGATGCACTTTACAATCTCTTTTTGTTCCCAGCACCCTACATAATTCACTCTCATCAGCAAATGTGACCACTTCGCTTGTGTGACTTGTTTCCGGCTTATGGAAACCCTACAATAAACTTATCATGGGATTTTCTTGGCAAGATTTGTTCCAAGGGAGTTTGCCTTTGCCTTCTTCTAAGGCTGTGTGTGATTTGCTGAAGGTCACCCAGTGGGTTTCCAAGGCTGAACAAGGATTTGATCCCTGGTCTCCAGAGTCATAGTCCAGTGCTCAAACCATTATACCACACTGACTGTCTAACCACCTCACCATACACTCCTAACTCTGGATTTTGTATCAGGAGACTCTGTATGTCTCTAAGTTGGTAGATATGTATGTTTTGTGGTTTCTTTTAAGAGTATTACGTGTGCAGTCATGTATCTTCTATCATATGTCCATAGCTCTTGATTTTAAAATAATATATTTAAGGGGCAGATGTGTTCAGAACTGTTATAGGCACTTTTGTATAACTTATTCTCCCCCTTGTGTGGCCTATTAATTGTGTTTATTTTTTTCTTTACTCATTTGTATAATATTTCATTTTTTTATTTTGCCATTTCTTTCATGGTAAACAGCTTATTGTTATTGTTATTTATGTAACGTATGCTGTGTTTTCAACAGTAAAAACACACCTTGCAAGTAGGTAAAATGAATAATTATTTGTCTGTCAGTGCTTGATACCACTTTGTCTACCATAGTTCCATCCTATGAGTTCCATCCTGAGATTTGAAGTTTTGCAAGGTATTAAGAATTCTCTGCCAGAGAGCTCTATTGACTCACCAAACTATATATCCCTGGATTCCACAGGATACAGCTTTGATAGCCATTCTCACAACAATTTGGTAAATTATGGGGTGGGAGCTTACACATGTATCCTGCCCTAGGACTGGGATAAAAGCATTTACATTAACATTCCTTACAATAACCCTCCCTTTAAAATGACTAGATAACATATATGAAATAAAAGAACTTGAACCATCTTACAAGGCTATGTTGCAATTTTTTAATAATGGCTTTTCTGTTGCTTTAATGGCCAGCAGAGGTCAACCATGTTTCTTGCCTGTTATTTTCCTCTCCAAGTGAGTCAATATACATCACTGCCTTTAGATTTTGTTACCTGATATTGGGGGCATAAATACTCTAAGGGCACCAGATCCCAGTACTGGTACTGGGATTGAAACATAATGGTAGAAAACGTGCAATGATTAATGTGTTGAATTTGCATAATCAGAATGGAAATAATAATATGCATAATTACAGTTTGCATCATATAAAAATTAGATGCCTAGATATGAGTGACTGGAATATGACAGCCTTAATTGCATCCCTTAGGCAGGTCTTGGCAGGTGAAGAGACTAAAGAGCATTTGATCAGCACAAAACCTTCAAAGGAATGTAGGTAAAGAGGCACAGTGTGGGGCTTGGTTGTTGATTTAATCCTTTCCTAAGCATGTATGGGAAACTAATCTACACTGCAAAAATAAAGCAGATTGATGCCACTTTAATTGCCATGGTTCCATCCTGTGGAATCCTGGGATTTGTAGTTTGGTAAGGTAGTCTGCCTGGTTTGTCACAGAGCTCTGGTGCCTCAAACAGCTTTATTGCTGCAGCGTGGATACACCCAGGGACAGAGGATGCATTGGTGGATGCAGTCTTGCCCATATCCTGTCTTCTGATCTGTTTCTGCAGACCAGTCCTTTTTTTTCTAAGCACGCATTGTCTTGGGGGTTCACAGTTAGGTCCCCTTGTCTGAAAGCAAATCCCACTGAACACTGTGACCATTCCCTTCTCCTCCTTAGGTATGTGCAGAAGTGCACTGTTAGAGAATAATCCTGCCTGGTGTTGAGTTTCTAGAGCTGGGAAGGAACAGGCCACTAAAGAGGACAAGATGGTTGTGGGGACTGTTGCTGGAAACTCAATAGTCTTCAGTAAAGATTACAAGCGCTTGCCTTCTGTTCTCTCAATAAACACAGGCATAGCAGCTGGAAATGCTGTGCCATGGAAACAAAACACCCAGGAAAATTCTATTTGACTCCCTTACTTGCTTTTAAGAAGCAAAGGCTATTTCACACTGCCATTGCTACTTGTGACTTTCAAGGGGTATAGTTCATATAATTTCCCCCCAACCTGGTACCCTCCAGATGAGATGGAGTAGAGCTTGAAATTTTGTTGTTTAGTGTTGCCCATCTCCATAAAACAGGATCCAACCAGACTGGCAGCTGAACCTTTCTTCAATCGGACATCTTCCTTAGACTTGTCTCATTTTACCCAATAATAGGGCTGGTCCTGGTTGGACAATCATTCCAAGAAGCTCCCAACTGCCTATCAGATGGACTCATGGAAGTTGTAATCTAACACATTTGGAAGACAGCAGGTTAGGGGAAACTGGTCCACACAAATACCATTTAATTTTGCAACGTGTGAATTTGGCCATGACTGAGTAACAGGTACAGAGGGGAAGCAGTGTTTTGTGTTCTTTGGCATACTGTGAGTGTGAGTGTGATACAAAGAGCACCATACTATGTGTGGTGTTTTTTTAAGGAAATTAGGTTAAGACACCAATTCTGATGATTGGAAGATTGGAAGGTTGGCAGTTCGAGGCCCGAGTGCTGCATGATGGGGTGAGCCCCAGTCACTAGTCCCAGTTTCTGCCAACCTAGCAGTTCAAAAGCATGCAAATGCAAGTAGATAAATAGGTACCACTTCGGTGAGAAGGTAAACAGCGTTCTGTGCAGTCATGCTAGCCACATGACCACCAGAGCAATCTTCAGACAACGCTGGCTCTTCAGCTTAGTAATGGAGACAAGCACCACCCCCTACAGTCGGTTACAACTAGGCATTCATGTCAAGGGATTATCTTTACTTTTACCTTATGCTGTGTTTTTGCTTACCTGAGGTCGGCAGCAACCAGCACTTTCAGGCATGTGAGATCTCCCTTGGCTGCTGCATAATGAGCTGGCACTGCTCCTTCCTTGGTCTCTGTCATAGTGTCAAACCCTGCCTGGACCAGCCACTCAACAACTTCTGAATGTCCAAAGCGAGCAGCTAAATGGAGTGGAGAAGCCCCTGAAGCATCTTGTTCCTATGAGGGAAATGACAATTTGGGAGCAGCAGTTGGTGGTCTTTCCCATTTTAACTCCTCAGTCTAGGCCACCTGACCGGTTATAATTGTGACACATAGAGCACTTGAAGCAGCTTCTGTGGTCAGGGGCATCACTGGGGGTTGCGGGGTGTGTGGACTGCACCAGGTGACACCCTAAGGTGTGGTGACACCACTGATGCCCAAACATCTGCCTTTTGGCAGAAACAGGCTGTAGAGTGCCCCTGCGTCCCTTTAAAATGGTGAAGAGATGGTATGACTGGGGAGATGCTCAGCGGGAGGAAAAGATGGGGCCATAGGTATTGCAGCCAAGGAAGACAAGGCTTGCTGTGGTTACCCAGAGGACCTTTTCATCGGCCACTCCTAAACTATGGAATAGCCTGCCAGAGGAGATCCATCCTCTTATGACTCTTGACACTGTCAAGACGTAGCTCTTCCATCAGGCCTTCCCTGATTGATGTAGGTTGCCTTTCCCATGAAGCCTCATTTTAATAATGTTTAATTTAGTTCATTTTATTCATTGATTGTATTTTATAATGCTGTGTTAGTCTCAAACTGGGGGTAAGGGGATCAGGTTATTTTATCATGTTGTTTTATAGCTGTATTATTGTATTTCATGATTGTTACCCACCATAATAATAATAATAATTTTTATTTTTATCCCGCCCCTCTGCAGTGCAATCGGGGTGGCCTTTGGAGAGAGGCG